ATTTTGTAACCCTAACTTTCTATCTACCTTGAATCCTGTATAGTCACATTTTGTAACCCTAACTTTCTATCTACCTTGAATCCTGTATAGTCACATTTTGTAACCCTAACTTTCTATCTACCTTGAATCATGTATAGTCACATTTTGTAACCCCAACTTTGTGAGTACCTACCTTGAATCATGTATAGTCACATTTTGTAACCCTAACTTTGTGAGTATCTACCTTGAATCATGTATAGTCACATTTTGTAACCCTAACTTTCTATCTACATTGAATCATGTATAGTCACATTTTGTAACCCTAACTTTGTGAGTATCTACCTTGAATCATGTATAGTCACATTTTGTAACCTTAACTTTGTGAGAAACTAACTTGAATGGTATATTGTCACATTTTCTAACCACTACATTGTGAGCAATTAACTCGAATAATGTATATCCAAGTTGTGTAACCCTAATTGTGTGACTGTCTACCTTGAATTATGTATAGTCAAATGCTGTAACCCTAACTTTGTGATCAACTGACTCGAATAATGTATAACCAAATTTTCTAACCCTAACTTTGTGAGTATCTAACTTGAATCATGTATAGTCATATTTTCTAACATACATTATTACACACACATATATATATATACTAAAAACGTGTTGTAGTTTAGTCAACATACAGCGGAACATCTATATAAAATGAATGGAGCATGGTATGTTGTTTGTGACACTCTACTCGCAATATTTGGGTCGCGGGATCGAAACCCTTCTCCGAACATGCTTATTCTTTCATAAGTTATAATGCGACGGTCCATTCCGCCATTCGTTTTTAAAGAGTCGCCTAAGAATTGGCTTTAGTCGATCACTTCAAAATTAGTGATAGCTAGCACAGATAGCCTTCAGTTATCAAACAAAAAATAATAATTAAACTAATAAGTTAGGTATCCATACTGTATTTAAAGTATTATTAGCAAATTTATATAAATATAATATCACTGTCTGTTATGTGTCCATGTAACTACTTCGCGGGGTGTGGATGGATCTTCACCAAAATTGGTATGGATGCTCATTAGGTCCATGCGGGGGTATATACAAATTTTCAGTTTTATGTTTTGCGTTTTTTTACCACTACTTCGTCCCCTGTTAATGGATCTTCACCAAATTTGGTATGAAGGTTTAGTGGGTCCATGCGGAGATACTGGAAATTTTCGGTTTCATATTTTGTGTTTTGCAGTTTTTATGAACATTTTTGCGTTTTTTTACAATTACAAATAAGGGAAGTAACTTTTCATATCCTAAGATAACCTTTAATTAATCATGAATTTACATAACTTCCGTCCAGGGGACCTGTACCCCAGCTAGTTATAATATAAGTTATATTTCTATTTGTTGTAAGCAACTATTATAGGATAACTTTATAATTTCTAACAACTTATGTATATTAAACTTACATGGACATTTTTGTACTCGCTGCTATCGTGATCCTAAAAAAGAAAAAAAAAACATAAGTTAGTTTCCTAGCAACAGCATAGGGAAGAAACAAATATCAAACTGAATTAGCAAAATATTATATTAAACTATACAAATGGCGTTTCATAGAATCTTTTGTCTATCATCTTCCAGCCCAACTCTCGAGTCCTGGCATTGAGCGAAAGGCCTTTTGGGCAGTGACTTGTGAGAGTTATATATATATGAAACGTTTCTAATTTTGAATTCGAAATGCAAAAATTAAGAAAAATGGGGTGAAAAGTTACGTGATATTTGCCGTAAATTTTAGGCTTATTGTTTTTTTAATGTTTCGCCAGCTTTCGACGTTTAAACTTTACGTTTTGAAATATTATATTACATATATAAATAGTGTTGGAAAGAATCTTTAGTTCTTCCAGAATCGTCACAATTGCTGCAGTATGTATTCGTTCCGAGTTTCTCCAACCTCGTGACTTCACCTACTAATTATAGAAATTATATTATCTTGGCCAACATCAACTATCATGGCAAAACGTTTTCAGAAACCACTCGGTTTAAATCTACTTTGTATAATATTACTGGATATCTGATGCCCCTTTCTTCTGTCAGGCTTGGCATGGCCTGGTGGTTAGGGTGCTTAACTCGAAATCTGTAGGTCACGGGTTCGAAACCCATCACCGAACATGCTCGCTCTTTCAGCCCTTGGGGCGTTATAATGTGGCAGTCAATCCCACTATTCGTGGGTAAAAGAGTATCCCAAGAGTTGGTGGTGGGTGGTGTTGACTAGCTGCCTTCCCTCACTGCTAAATTAGGGACGGCTAGCCTACGTGTACCTTTGTGCGAAACCCAGAATAAACCAAAACAAACTTCTCTCTACTAGCCATTCCGGAATCAAACTCTTCACCAGATGTTGTTCTGCCTTCTCTTCCTCAGAATGTGATCACCTTCCCCATACAGGTTCAACTACCAACACGGGTAACTTATAATAATTCCGACACAAATGGGATCTTTTTGGACTATCCGACTGGCCGATTCCTGTTGAAAGAGATACATCAAGTATTGTTACGAATCTGACCCCTACTGATAATGTTAATCCACCGGAGCCGTCTTATACGATTCGTGTTAAAAGAGATACATCAAGTATTATTACGAATCTTACCCCCTATTAATAATGTTAATCCACAGGGGCCATCATATACGTTTCATGTTGAAAGAGATACATCAAGTGTTGATGTCAATCTTATCCCTATTGATAATGTTAATCCACCGGGGGCCGTCTTATACGATTCATATCGAAAGAGATACATCAAATATTAATGTTAATCTTATCCCTATTGATATTGTTAATCCACCGGGGCCGTCTTATACGATTCATATCGAAAGAGATGCATCAGGTGTTGATACGAATCTTAGTTTTACTTCTGATCATCAACTCCAACTGTGTACACGGGCTGGGTTTTGTCCACAATGAATCAAGTTCTAAAATGATCTTGCTCTATCTCCATTCATTTTAACATTAACAAACTTTCTTGTAAGTTGCTTTTGGTTTTGAACTAGCTTCTGCCTCTGTTTTTGCTACTTAAAAACATCCTAATTATGCATTTATTTCTCTGTAGGAGACGTGTAACTATTTCTCTTAAGAGGGGTATAATTCGATAGGATTTATCCGTTCAGGCAGTCCTCCGGTGGGACAGCGGTAAGTTTAAGGACTTACAATGCTAAAATCCGGGGTTCGATTCTTAGCGGTGGACATAGCAGATAGTTGAACATGGCTTTGCTCTTAACCAAACAAGTAACCAGTGTAGTCATATCAACAGCATAAAGAATATAAAGAAGAGATGGTAGAAATGAGCCTTGAGGAGCTCCAGTAGAAAAATCGAAGGAGTGAGAAGGAGTAATTTGCTGCTGATGATGCTAACTGAAAGACCAAGATTACTTTCAATAAAAGTTCTTTGGTTTGAAGTCGTCACTGGCGTATTACCCTTAATGCTACAAAAACGAAAGCGGACTCTTTGATCCTGACAAAAAAAATTAAGAAAGTTTGGCCCATGACGTAATCATTTGTCATCATGTATCAGCAACGTTCCTATTTAGCCCATGACGTAATCATTTGTCATCATGTATCAGCAACGTTCCTATTTAGCCCATACACAGTTAAATGTGTCATCCTCGATAAACATCGAACTTGGAATTCCCAGTCAACCATAAGGTCACTAAACGTCTCAGTCTCTTACAATGCTTAACAGGAACCTTCTGGAGTTTAAGCCTACCCTTTCTCCTACCTTTTATATATGTTTCTCCTAGTTCTGGAACGACATGCCCTACGGATAGCTTTTACCATTACACTTCCCAGCCCTAAAGTGTAGATGTGGGATGGATTAAATTTTCCTTCTACGAAACACTTCCCATTAAATATGGTAAACAGTGTTTCCTCTTTCAAAATGTAGCATTTTCAGAATATTCATCCCTCGAGGAAACTCTTGCCACCGGCTGATCATCTCTTAAACTTGTGTGGTATGTCATTTCCAGCTAATAATCCTAATCACGTGGATCTTCCAGTTCCACATTTACCCAACTATATTTATCCAGACAGCTGAAAGATTCTTTTTTCCTTCTACCTTTCTCTAATTTTTCTGCTTTTTAAAAACATATAAATATCCTTTCCAAATCATAACGTCATCCACTCGCCTTCATGCGTTGATTCACTTACACGTCCATTATACACTATCAATCGTCACTTTCATCCCATCTCTTGGTCGAAGAGAGGGCCCCTAACTGACGAGTTCTGGTACTAAAAGAAATGTCTCTTTGATAGTGACTTATGAAATACAAAGGATAGATCTGAAATGGTAATTTACTTGACTTTTGAGTTTGAAGCCGAAATGAACAAATTTAGACAAAATTGAAAGAAAAAAAAAAGAGTCTGAAATTTGGTTTCTAATGCTTCACCAACTTCCGGCATTTAAATCGTACTTTTTAAAGTATCTTATGTAGATAACGTTTCAGAGAATCTTTTGTCTCTCGTCATCAACTCAAGTGTCGAGTTCTGGTATTGAACGAAAGGCCTCTTAAGCAGTGACTTGTAGGAGATTAAAGATAGATATGATAGGCTATTTTAAAAAGACCTCTTATTATGAATCCACATTGAACAAATTATGAGGGGTGTAAAAAATAACATCTGCAGTTTACGTGATTTTTGCCACAAATTTTAGGCCCACTAATGTCAAAATAAATATATATATATACTGAAAAAATCAATTCTCTAGCTGTCCTCTTATCCATTCCCCAGATTTATGTTTTCTCAAGCTGATAACAACTTTTGTCACTAAATAAATAAATAAATACAAATCAAAAAATATTACTACATTGAACAAGAAATTTCCTCATTTTTGTAATTAAAATAATCCGGATTAATGGCTTTAATTATTTGTTAAAAAAGAAACAAGTTCACACATACGTGGGTTGTAACACTGTACGACTTTATGAAAGAAACGTACGATTTGATTTCAGTGTAAAACTGTTTACTTCAAACAAATATAAACGAGGTTTTTTATTCGGACTGTGTTACTTTAATAAAGGTGGTACTTACATAATCTGGATGGGCACAATTGTAGATCTGTAATAAAGATATAACGATTAGGTACTTTAAAGTCACATAACACGCATAACTTCATAAATAGAAACATTAATTAAGTACTTAATTTGTGGTTCAAGAGCTGTATTTCAGTATCTGTTGATAATACACCACACAATTAGAGCACTGACGGATACACTTTGTGATTAGGTTCATACACGTTTCATCAAAAGTGGCTTATAAAGATCAGAGTGTTTACAGATATAAAGTTCAAACTTACCTCCTCCCACTTCCCACACAGAGCTTGATCAGTTACAGCTTGATGGGTAGCCCTACAGTTGGCAAACTTCTTTTTATACTGAAAAAACAACAACATTAGTTTCAAAACAATTATAATGTAAACTCACCACAATAGATTGTGGAATGTTAATATTAGGAAGTTTCATACAAATACACAATACAATTTATCATGAATAATTATCATAGAGATATTATAATTTCTTATCCTCTGTCAGGAGCGAGAGTTTTGTCTTCGTTATAATTTTAATTTTCAAAACAAAATAAAAAGCGAGCTTTTTTCTCATATTAATTATTTCTAGTACAAGAACCTAAGCAGATTGGTTCGAGAGACAAACTTTCATTGAAATGATTTGTACTAATTAGATGTTTACATCAGTTGAGGATATTGTTTACATCACTTGAGGACATTGTTTACATCAGTTGAGGACATTGTTTATCATTACTTGAAGACATTGTTTAGATCAGTTGAGGACATTGTTTACATCACTTGAGGACATTGTTCACATCACTTGAGGATATTGTTTACATCACTTGAGGACATTCTTTATCATCACTTGAAGACATTGTTTAGGTCAGTTGAGGACATTGTTTACATCACTTGAGGACATTGTTCACATCACTTGAGGATATTGTTTACATCACTTGAGGACATTCTTTATCATCACTTGAAGACATTGTTTAAATCGCTTGAAGACATTGTTCACATCACTTGAGGACATTGTTCACATCACTTGAGGATATTGTTTATATCACTTGAGGACATTCTTTATCATCACTTGAAGACATTGTTTAAATCGCTTGAAGACATTGTTTAAATCGCTTGAAGACATTGTTTACATCACTTGAGGACATTGTTTACTCCACGTCTGTTTGCTTTGCTCGTTTCAAGAAGAAATTCAATGAATGATAAATAAACATCTAATTACAGGATTTTAACTGTTCCTTTATTCTTCGGGAACTTTTGATGAGAGGAGAAATGGGGGAAGTGAAATTGTCTGGATGTTAAAGGATCTAAATATTTCCTTAGCTCAAAATTAGGGATGGGAAGAAAAATGGAGACAAATAGTGTAACTGTTTAGATATTGATGAAACTAATCATTTAAATACTCAGCAGATAACTGAGTTTCATGTTAATGAATTGATTAGCAAAATATACATTATAAGTGTAATAGACGAAATTATTAAAAGCCAAATTAATATCTTGTGATTATTTAAGTATTTTGACCACGTAGAATATGTAAAAACAACTTATAGACTGATCACGAAGATGGAACTATTTTTTGTCTTTACATTCCTGATTCATATTTAACCATGTAACGAACGTCTATAATCGTACAGTTGTTATCACCAGACTTACACTAGAGGGCTCCAGGTCCATACAGTGTTTGATGTCTGCAATGGCTTTATCGTTATTGCTATCTGTGAAATGGAAGAAACACCAAGTTGAAATTAAACTACATTTAAACGTGAAAGACGAATACGAGCTTTTAATACAAATTAGTAAGTGAGTTGAGATCCTGAGTAATCTGACGTCACTCGGAGATTCTGTCTCGACAGTTTTGTACATAACAAAATATCGGTTCTAATAAAGTAAACAACAAACGTGACGTCTTAGTCCGTAGTTGATTAGATAAAGCTAGAAATATATAACTCCTTGTTTACTGATCAATTATTTCATTATCTACTACAGGTATGATATAAGCATAAAAATAGAAGTGTGTTTGTTTGAAAAAAAAACAATTAATATCACTTTAAAATTATTTTGCTAGATACCACAGATATAATCCGGATATATCTATATATATATATAACTAAATGTATTTTGTTTTCAAATTATAGTTTATTTATGCTTGTTTGAGAACAAAGCCACATTGGGCTATCTGTTATGTCAACCGCGGGGAATCGAACCCCAGATTTTAGACTTGTAAATCCGTAAACTTACCGCTGTTGGTGAAGGGTTGAATAAATCAGTGTACGGCTATTAAAACTTGAGCCACTTGAAACATATATATATAGAAACTATCAAATGTTTTATTATTAGGTATATAAACCGGAAATCGTTGTGTCTGTTAGTTAAATAATGATATACACTTTACAAGCAATCTTTTTAAGTAAATTCTGAAAAACTGACAAATGAAAATTTGGATCTTGTAGTTACCACATAACAAGTCGTAGGTCTTCTTATCAGGATGGCCAGAACTAGAGATAATAACAACCAGTAGAACTACAACAACAAGACCTTTCATTGTTCAGGAGTTTGAAGTCAGCTCGTGCAGAAGTTCGATAGTTTGTTCAGGAGTTTGAAGACAGCTCGTGCAGAAGTTCTTCGGTACTCTGTAGATTTTGCTGAAGTCACCGAGACGTAGTGAGTTTATATTCACGGAGAAGCCTTGATAATGCACGTGAAAAACCTGGTCACGTGAACGATTCAAGCCAATGACAGTTATTCTTTTTCCATCTCGGATTATTTGTTTTACACTTACTCGAGTGATTGTTAAAAGATCAACTTTAGCCATGTTGTTTTTATTTATGTTGCCTGAGTGTTGAAGAGCTCTAATGTTTCTCAGAAGGAGTGTTTCTCAAGTTTGTAGAATAAAACTGAATTTCAAGGATCCTAGGGGTTTGGTTTAGTGTTAGAGGATAAAGATGATAAAATAAGAAAAATGTTAAGGAAGTAGAAATGGAAAAAAGTAACATCTAACGTTATAGCCACAGACAGACTGACCAAAAGATGAATACATAAGGTTAAAACACTTGACAATATCTCTTAATATAACTTTTATGTGGTAAAGCCCAAGGTAACATAAAAACGTTGTTCTTGGTAAACCACAAGGTAACATAAAAACGTTGTTCTTGGTAAAGTCAAAGGTAACATAAAAACGTTGTACTTGGTAAATCAAAAGGTAACATAAAAACGTTGTTCTTGGTAAAGTAAAAGGTAACATAAAAACGTTGTTCTTGGTCAACCAAAAGGTAACATAAAAACGTTGTTCTTGGTCAACCAAAAGGTAACATAAAAACGTTGTAGTCGTCGAGTAATTTTGCACAAAATAAACTGACACTTGGAATTTTACAAACATAAGCCTTTTTAAATATTTTTTTAAGCATTCATCTCAAACTGTTCCAGAAATGTTTGTTCTGATTTATTATTTAGTATACGTAATAACTTTCATTAAGCCTAATCTGAATATTTACACGGACTTTTTCTACGAAAAAATCGCGATCTTTTCACAAACAACATGAACCGTTTCACGATCTTCTTACAAACAACTATGAAACGTTTCACGATCTTCTCACAAACAACGTGAAACGTTTCACGGTCTTCTTACAAACAACATTAAACGTTTCTCGATATTTTTACAAACAACATGAAACGTTTCACGATCTTCTCACAAACTGACTCACCAGGTCATCACTATGATAGACATCAATAAAAATAGTCAAACGTTTACACACATACAATAACAACAACAACAAAAAAAAAGGCCGGCAGGAGGAGTATAGCTACTTCATTATAGTCAAAGTTTATAATGAAATGCTTTTAAAAGTTCGGTCGTTGATGTGCTGATGTAATACGTATAATAATATACATAAATTAAATAGTTTATGTTAATTACGCCCTACCCGTTTGTCTTCACTTATGTTGAATACATAAATTAAATAGTTTATGTTAATTACGTCCTACCCGTTTGTCTTCACTTATGTTGAATACATAAATTAAATAGTTTATGTTACTTACGTCCTACCCGTTTGTCTTCACTTATGTTGAATTTGTTTCATA